AACACCAAAATGTTCAAATTTCTTGACGACCTTTCAGTATTATCAAACATTTCCAGCTTAAAATAGTATGTTAATCATTGTTACAATGTTGTCTGTCACTTTTTATGTACTGTGGTCACTCTACAGCCTCTTCTATAGTTTAGAGGATAGTAACACTGGTTTGTCAGGAATGACAAATTATAGAGTTATTTTTACCAACTAAAGGGTTTATATATGTCAAAAATCAATTTGCACAGATAGATGACTAGAACAAACCTCTTCCTATTTTACAGTATCTTCATTTACCGTCCCCAAAATAGTAAACTGATGTTATAACTTCATGCATCACGTCACTGAATTTTTTTCACTTTCTTCCTTAGCTTGTTCGATTTAAGAAACAATAATGGGACTTCATTTCTGTTTTCTGATTTGATCGAGTTGCGTGATTTATTGCGAACAGATCGAAATCTAAACCATAGAGATTTATATGATAAGGTAAAATTTCTTCATTCGATCATAAATCCTTCTGGAAAAAAGTCAATCAGGTAGAAGTTTTTTTTATTTAAACAGAAAACTGACCACTCAATTGATTTTTCTTTGAAGCACCCAAATTGAAGAGTATCGGTAGATAACTGACATTTCAACATTATCTAAACATAATTTTTTCTGATAGAAGATTTAATACCATTTATATCTTGAGTAGGTGCTAGTTGACATCCTCCAATTTCGCAGAAAGATTTTTATGTTCAAACCCATTGATTTGATTATGGATGAACATTTTCACTTGAAATAGATGCTTACATTTTTAAATCTTATTTTTCATTACTTTCTGATTACGTTACCAAAAAAAATAAACAGAAATCAAACTCTTGAAGTTTCAAGACTTATTATAAATTGCCTTTCATCAATTAAAAATGCTTCTGAAATTTAATTTTTAAAATGTTTTGCTGCGTAGTGATAGGGATTTCTACAAAATAAAAAGTAAAAAATGAATGAAATTAATTTATAACTAAATCATTCAAAACGTACAAAGTAAATTAAGTAGTAAAATCAAAATAAATCCGGTCAAGTCTGTGACATGTTATTCTAATCAATGTAATTTCATGTGAGACCAGCTTGTGATCTGTGTATGTCAAGGAAAAAACAATGAATTGATCATGTAAAATAGTGGACTTAAATGTTCTAAAAAAGGTAGTTTGGATAAATGATTCTATTTGGACGTTCTGTGAAGCTTTCAATTTAATCGAGCACAGTTGTGTCTAAATGGGTAGGTAAATCACTAGCTAATCGCTTCTCTTTTTTTGGTTGGTAAAAAACCTACACGAATTATTTGCATATTTACAATAGTATGGTAGCTAACTGCTGATTTAACGTAGAGATTATCAGCTTCTACAATATTATTAAGTCATAATAAATAATTTAGACCCTTTCCGGCCAATGTCAAGTTTTCCGGAGACTATTAAATAAGAAGAAAGATATAATAGTAAACATAACCTAATAAATAGACACAAGAAATAATTTACAGATAAATGGACGACTGACTACCCTACAGAAATAAACTGAACTTTATTTATTTATAGTTGTACCCAGTTACAGTATTCGACAACCTATGTGGACTAACATAGAGTGTATCGATTCGGTCAACATTTGCACTCAAACACACAGTTTTGGCTGTTGGTGAATCCATTCAGTTTTAAAATAGTTCCGAGAACAAATTAACTGCTTACTTTAAATGTTATTTTGTTTAAAAAATTGATTTTTTTATTTAATACGTAAATATAATCTTCGTGCACACACTAGTGAGCTTCAAAAATGCACAAACCGGAAGTGATTATTCTGTGAGTGGTTTTCGAGTTTTATGCATCTTGATGTTTTGATCTAACAAGTTATTCATTTGAAAATAAATTCAGTAGAGTAGATAGATCGAGAAAAATTTATTTATTTTTAAAAAATGCTTCCATCTACCTTTCCACTAAACATGTTTCCTTACTGTTACACCTAAATACAGAGTGAGTACTTTTTTACCAATCTATTATGAATGTTAAAAAAAATTCTAAACACTAACAAATGAAATAAACTATATTTTTCAAATAGTTCTTGTTCAGTCAATAAGATGAGAGCATTTATAAAACCAGATGTTCAAAAGCATGCATCAAAGTTAACAAAGAACTGAAAAAAATTCCGTAAATTAAAATTTGAATAGGGAATAGGTACACCTACACAAAGATTTTTATAGCCGACAATTAGTTTCAACTAGAGAAAAATAGAAATAATTCTATTAGATTTTCAAATTCACATATGGACTGAACGACAGTCATCATTTATTAGTACATTAAAATCAGATTTTATTGTTTTCTTTTCCTACATATAAGATTGGTTTATTGAGTGATTTCAGATACGGCACTTTTGTTTATATATATATATATATATATATATATATATATATATATATATATATATATATATATATATATATATATATATATATATATATATATATATGTTATGCACATAATCTAGCTCATAAGCTTACATTCAGCACATATAGAATGCACAGTCACATGTTGAATAAAATCAGCCAAAACTAAAAACGAAAACATTTGCATGGCTATTTGAGTGTTCTTTCTGGTCTTCCATATTGTGCGGATATTTCGTGAACTTATGTTAACTGTTACTATGGTTGTTGGAAGAAGTATCAGCCTTGTGATTTCTAAAAGCTAATGGCTTTTACCCAGAAACGTCATAACTCCTTTAAATAAAGACCCTTAAAATACCATGGCAAAGTTTATATGGTTAGAATGATTTATTCTGGCAAAGTTGTTTTCGATGAGATGTGATTACTAAATCCATGCTCGAACATCCCCATTTATCCGGGTTTCGGAGTGATACTAAATCTAGGCGATCTCTAGTTGGATTTGTTGTAAATATGCCATGGATAAACAATATATTTAAGTACATTACTTGGAAATGTACAACTGTATTGATTTCTATCCATTTTATTGTCACTTAATCAGGTTGTTGTAGTTTTAGTTAATTAAGTTTTATTTCGGATCAAAACAGACTTTATATGTGGCCCTGACTGTTAGAACATCAAATCGATCATCTTAACAAAGTATTCATAAATCTAATCAAAGCATAGATGTTTGAAAGACAGATTTATATCATCTATACTTCAAAAAAAACATACTGAATATGTTATTTGTCCTTTATTTATAGTCAATAATTCACTTATTTGATTCATCAACAGAATTTTCAGCAGTGAGCATCCAAGATCTTGTGATGAAGATCAATTAGCATTGTGTGCTTCTTATTTCAACCAGTTCAGGTTACTGTATGACTATTATTAGCTTTTATTGTTTGAAATAGTTTTACGCCAGACATGAATATATTCTCTTGGTCAACGTTTCTTGATATAACTATGATTTCGTTCTTAATCGAAGATATGTCCTGTTAAATGTATTTCATTTTGTTATGAATAACTATATATTCTAATTATGGACAAAGATAATAAACCCATTTAATCCTAATTTCATTATAAATCAGCTCAGAGAATGATACTTAAAAAGGGGATGAAACTTAAAATTCAATAAAATCTGTCACGAAATGTCCTTAAACATAAATATTAAAAAGACTTCCTTATCAGATGTAAAGAATTATTTCAAAACAATTTTCATCACAAATAAATTATAAACAAATAAATTTAAATACTTAAATGTTATTACATTCTTGTAAATTTATTATTACTCGCATTCAGGAAATATGCACGCATAAAAATAACCGGTGGAAAGAAAAATATTCAGTCACTTGACATAATTACCAATCGATATGTCAACGAGATTTTTGTCTATTTGATTAATTAGAAAGTATTTAAACAACAGTAATAAAATAATTGTCGATCTCATTGATGAGGCATTATGACAACATATCTGATGAGAAATAGTTCGATTCGAATGTAGTTTTTGATATCAGCTCGTATCAACTGATAATTTGCTAAAAACTACGATGTCATGTTGGACTGTTTACCTTGATTAAGGATTCTTATTAGTGAATACTACTAATCTGAAAAGGGTCAACCTCAAAACTTTCAGATTCTTGACCAACACAAGATATATATCCAAATATTTATTATCGACATAATTACTGGTAGCTACTGTTTATAAGTTATTCACAAAAATGCCGGAAACATAATCTGAAAATTTAAAATGCTAAGTTCGTGTATTTTCACCCATAATTTTCGATCTAGGCTATTATATATATATATATATACATATAAATTACTTACACCCCCAATGGAGCATAGGCCGCCGACCAGTTTTCTCCAGCCTACTCTGTCCTGGGCTTCCCTTTCCAGTTCTGTTCAATATTTGTTCATTCCTCTGATATCTTTCTCTATTTCTCAGTGTATTGTGTTCCTTGGCCTTCCTCTTTTCCTTTCACCTTGAGGGTTCGCCTTGTGACGCAGTTGGGTGCTTTACGCAGTATGTGAACTATCCACTTCCACCGCTTCTTCCTGATTTCCTCCTTCGCTGGAATCTGATTTGTTCTATCACACAGTACGTTGTTGCTGATGGTGTCTGGCCGACGAATCCGAAGTATTTTGCGAAGACAACTGTTCATCAATACTTGTATGTTTCAGATGATGGCCTTTGTAGTTCTTCAAGTTTCCGCTCAATAAGTAGAACTGTCTTGACATTTGTATTGAAGATTGCGAGTTTGGTGTTGGTTGACAGATGTTTTGAGTTCCAGATATTTTTCAATTGTAGAAATGCAGCCCTTGCTTTGCCGATCCGCGGACTTACATCTGCATCGGATTCACCTTGGTTGTCGATGATGCTCCTCAGGTCTGTAAAGGCGTTAACTTCCTCCAAGGCATCTCCAACAAGCGTGATTTGGTTGTTGCATGGTGTGTTACATCATAGAATCTTGCTTTCCCTTTAACAAGATATATATATATATTTTTGTAAATTTACATCCGATTATATCTTACTGTTACCCTTATATTTTCTTTTTATTTCCAACAGGTTTTATTGGGATTTACTAATGCTCATGTTACTTATTGCGAATTTGATAATTTTGCCAGTAGCCATATCATTTTTCAACGATGACCTCAGTATACATTGGATTATATTTAATTCTATATCCGATGTTGTATTTATTGCTGACATAGCTGTAAAATTTCGTACTGGCAAGTTAATTATTAATTAATGTTTTTTTCTCATGATATCACTTTAACAGGTTCATTTCACTTAATTCTACTAGTATTCATACCATTAATCTACAATCTTTGAAGAAATTGAGCTGTGGATTTGAAATGTATTTCAAGAATACATAAGGACATATAGGATATCAAACTAAAAAAACACATAAAAATATGTTTGATGTCGTTGAACCAAATTTATATAGACTTACTATCTAAAAGTCATTTGATATCTTTTTAGAACTGTAACACAATAAACTGATTCAAAGAAAATATTACATCGTTAATGACAGTTATAGATCTGGATATTCTTTTAGCAACCAGTCACGTTCTTCACTGTTAATCATAACTATTTCAACAGGTTTATCTTACTAGTCAATAAATAAAGATTTTTTACAATTCCATTATCGATTTTAATAAACTAACATTACACTCGACACAATTTATTCGTCTAATGGGATTTGAACCAGATTGTTGTTGATCAACAACTTTTACTTGGATTAATTTAGGTCAACGAGTCGTTCAATCTCAGTCGATTTTGTACTGTATTAAAAATAAGTAACAAATAATGAATTGTATGAAATTACTGTAACATTAATATACTGGCAGAAGATTATGTAACTGATTAGTTCATACAATATTTAATTAAATGATTGAGGTCAAACTAAGCATCTTCAAAATATAACCAAGTTGTTAACAAAGCACAACTTAGCGTCTTTTTTTAATCTGATTTTGACTTAGATGACATGTTCGTCAATATTAAATAATTTTGAAACAAACCATGATTTCAATAATTCATCATCATCATATTCATCATCAGGATATATTGGAATAAAATAAGCTAGTAGAAATAGACTGAAAGCATACATTCGATGTAATATTTCAAATTCCAGAAGTATCTTTAATCATAGATTTGAACTTATGAACTTAAGATAAGTATTAAATGAAAGGATGCATAAACGAAAACCCAACAGATTTTCATTATTTATCACAATTCACAACAGACACTAAATATCCTCATTTTTCATCTGCCTGATTGTTAGTCTTTCCTCAACAGTTCAAAAAAAAATAAATTCATAAAAAAAGAAAGTAGGTTATCATGATACTTCATTGGTTTAAAGTTTTTGTGAATAGATATTTTGTACTCGATTACATTAGTATTCATCAAATAACAGTATGCTTGAGCTGTTTTTGTTCAATACCCAACTGCATAAACCAGTAAGTTTGTGAGTGTATAAGTTATAGAAAAGAGAATGCATTATTACAAGTGTATATTGTATTAAGCAATAGTTTTATCTACATTAACATTAAACTTAATTTTTTTACCCATGACACAATTAATGAGATTGTGATCAGACCTAAACACTCAGATGGATAGTCTTGGCAAAAAATAATCGATTTGTACTTAATTTCTTTTGATTAACAATCTTCTAGATGTAAAATGTCGTTCTTTAAATCAATTCCAAGTCTTTTCGATACACATATATTTACAGAGATATTCTTATAATTTTCTCTAATACATTCTTTTACAGGTATTGTCACAAATGATTATGCTGATGAAATTATTTTAAACCCTAAAGAAATAGCACGTCATTATTTAAAATCATGGTTTGTATTAGATTTCATCAGTTCGATTCCAATGGATTACATGTACCTAATTTTTAACAAAAAAGATCATTATAATCAATTTTTCAGTGCAGGTAAGTTGTAACAAAAAAGACAACATCAAATTTATTTTTATATACGCTATTCTAAAACTGTATACGATGAATCCACATAATGATGTCATCGAAATAAAACAGCTAGATCTTCCAATGTCTCCCAACCAATTCGATAACCATATTGTAACTGTCACCTAAACACAGGTCCACTGGTGGTTTTGATATTGACTTATTGAGCTAGAGTCAGATTAATAGCAAGTTGAAATGTGATATGATTTCCCTTCCCCACAAAACTACTACATTATTCGGAATAATAAAAAAAGTGTAAACCACCACTAAATGGCCAGACAAACATTACATTGGTTACCAACCATCTATAAATATCTCAGTCTTACAGAAGGTTAGTATGCAGTAGAAGTAGTAGTGGTTACATTTTAAACTGTAAAACTGGATGGCGTGGGTCCAGATCTGGAATTTGTTGTTGCTCACCTCAAGGCACTTATTATGTAAATCATTTGAAAAAATCTGATTTTGATCACTGTAGTTGTTATGTCTATACAGTATGTGAAGAGCAAGCATTAGTAGCTTTCAACCAGTTAGAGAAAATGCTGTTTAAATAATCAAAATGGTCGCTTGATATCATATGATATTTTAAGAATGAATAAATAAATAAATAAAGATGAAGTATGCTTGACTGAATTCTGATTTTTAAAAAAAACGTTTCATATAATAAAAGTTAGTATATAATTCAAAGAAAATCTAAATGTGAGGGATGGAATTTTTACTGTTTACGGTAGTTAAATTTGGAATTACTAAACAACAGCGCCACCTGTTGGGATTTATCATTCATTATGTTCTACATTTGACTCCAGTTGATTTGCAATCATTGGGTAGTATAGTGACACTCAAAGGAATAAATAATTATCCTATAAGTAACCAGAATACCTGAACATGTTACATAAAGCAGGAAAAATTGATTCGGAACACCGATGTCGGCTTATTATCTAACTGTACATTAGAGAGAAAACCTTGTAATATATTAATTTTTTTTATTCATGTTTCACACTGATTTGCTCAGCATGAATAATTTAATACTAACTGAATGTTAAATTTAGACAGCTTGCAGTCAAAAAAAAGGAATTCACTCTTAGAAATATCTAAAAAAAATTTTATTTCCCAAACAAATTTTAAAATTTAAATCATTCGCTTTGCCAAAACGAAAGTGAAATTGTTCGAACATTAAATCAGGCATTCATCACGATAAATTAATTAGTTAATTAATTGTCACATTAACATTTCAAAAACCAAATTACACAACAGAGTTATGAAAAATGAATTTAACAAATAGTTTTTTATTAAGAAGAAACCTATGTAAATGATAAAAATAAACGTTTCGACTGTTTGTAAATACAACTATTGTTATGTTCAGTTTCTTAATGAAATACAGTCAAGAATTCGATTTGAAAAATAATTAATATTTAGATGTAATATCTATAGATTATGTATACTTATATCTACTATAAAAATTCTGTTGGTCAGCTGACCACTTTAAATTACTCGTGAATGAATTACAAATTAAAGATGAATTCCATAAGTGAATTTCATCAAATAAGACGTAACTGCAAATTCCAATGAATTAAAAACTAATGAAGTTGATATTGTCAACCTGATTGCCTGGTTTTCTTGTGCATTTCAAAACGGTTGAAAGCAATATTTTCATTTTTTTTTAATTTGAATAAAGGCAAGAAGAAAGAAAACTTTATTCAATAACAAAATTTATTTACTTCATAAACTCTTTTCTAGTTGCTCGCCTCCTAGAAACAGTATTAATCATCCATGCATGCTCTTAAAAATATTCAAAATCAATTCCAACCACGTAAAATTTAGATTTCCAAAATATGGGCCAATAAAGGGAGTTTAAATTTAGTCTTGTTCCTTTATGGAGAGTCAGCGATTGAGCTTTACCTGCTTTAGAAAATGAGGCATTTATATACATTCAAACTTTGTTCTTCATAAATAGAGATCAACGATTTAAACTTACATATTCTGCTTGAAACTTTGTAAACTTTCTCATTTTACCTTCTTACACAATTATGACTGTGTCATTGATAAAATAGAAGGCCATCTGTCTTCTCGGTAGCATAATGGAATAATACAAAAGTCAAACTAGACAATACAACTGGTCCCATAATAAAAAGCACGATTAAGTTTGCTCTTTATCATGGACACAACATTTGGAAATATTATTTTAAAGTCAAAAAACATATTACTAACACAAAATAACCACACGTACATGGTGGTAAAGCAACGACGGGCAATGAATGTAGCATATTATGTATCAAATATCGACAATACTTGATTTAAGTAATCATAACTATTTAAACTCAACGAACAGTAATAAGATAACGATAAATATGAAAAAATCATTCGAAGTATTTACAATATTCTTAGAGAATTATTACAAACGTTTCTAAGATTATAAGCAGCTAAAAAGGAATCAACAAAATAAATACAATCATATTCTTTCGAAATGTTTGTCCTAATTCAATACAGCTAGCCTGAAATTTTAACTGTGTATCATGTTGAAATGTTCATCACCAACCAGAACCTACCATAATGAATTCATGATAAATCATGATCTGTTATATGAAAATTGAAATATGAACAATAGAATAATACCATCTAAGACTAGAATAGATATATATTGTTAGTTTTTTAGCACAGGTAAACTGTAGCGTTTATCTGTACAAAGATTACCATTATATATATATATATATATATATATATATATATATATATATATATATATATATATATATATATATATATATAATTGTAATCTCACTGATAAAAATAATTTATTTACCAATCGCATTTATTACTTTTAGCTTCATAAAAACCAATTCAATAATATTTTAATTAAGTTTTATTTAGAATAAATCAGTTTAGATGTTATCATTGTGACCCTATTATTCATATTCATATATGGATGATTTATGCTATTTCAATATTTACCATGCTCTGATTTTTTTCTAAGATCTATTCTTTTAACTGTTTATTTATATCACATTGAATAAAAAAAATCCCAAATTTATGAAAAGGTTGCTAAAGTTAAAGAGCATTTAATAGCACGTAGATTTATTTTTTTAACTAAAAATGTTTAAAATTGCTAAAGAAACTAATAGCTTATATTGAATAGTAAAAGTAAACAGTTTTATCCCTCTCGTTTATAATATGATTTTCATTATTGAACTTTGAATGAAACTAAGCACGAATCCACCTTATAACAACACCCTTACTAGTAGAAACCAATAAAACGAATATATTTCAAAATAAGGATTTTATTTTTTCTCAACTATACAGATGGTTTAAAAACCACTTATGCCAAATACAATAAAAAATTATTACAAAAGTTAGTTTTTTTTGACGCATTCCAAACTAAACAACCAGTACAAAGTCATCAAAAACCCCACCTAAAGAAGTAAAGCGTTCCTGAATGTATATGATTTAATTCTAAACCTGTCATTTAAAAATCCTCTAGTTATCTTGATAGGAAGTTATGAATAATATGCCATGGCTCTGAGGGCGATGAGGAGCGGAGTCAGCTTAGACGTAGGCTGATAAAAAGCCTACGCAATGATCGAGAACAGTGGTGGGTAGGAAAAGCGAGAGAGATGGAAAAGGCAGCGGCGATAGGCAACAGTAGGCAACTATTTAGACTCATCAAGGAAACTAGTATTAGGAACCCAAGTGTGAGGGAGACTATTTCGGAAAAGGATGGTCTTATTATCCATTCTCAATCCAGGAGACTGGACAGATGGGAAGAACACTTCAAGGTTCAGTTCAACTGGCCTCGAGCCACTCTTCGGTTACCCACGATCTCCAGTCATCCTGAATGGCAAATCGACGTAAGCCCCCGAGTCTTTATGAAGTTGAGAAAGCTATAGGAAATCTGAAGAGAAGAAGAGCAGCAGGTCCTGATAGGCTTGCCCCTGAGATGTTTGAGAATGGTGGTCCAGTTTTAACAGTTAAACTGACCGAGATCTTAGGTAGAATCTGGTAGAGAAATTTTGTAGCTCAAGTGAATGATTATGATGAGCTCAGAGAACGAAATCCAATCACAGTTATATATTGTTTTCTACATGGCTTACAATTATGCTTATCTCTCATGTTTTTTTTTTCATTACTACTCGTCTATTTCTATACCTAGCAAAAAAAAAATGAATTCGCCTCCAAATGCCAGTCCAGTAAACAGACAATTTACAAATCTGAAATTCATTTCTTAGCTAACTTTCATGATCCATTCAAATAAAGATACTGAAATTGAACTCTACAAATTGTTCATTGATTCTTTAGTCTAAAAGTGTATAAGGGAAGTTAACAGCTGATTTAATTGTGTTATTTTATTATTTTTTTTTTTAAAATAAGCAATTTTTTCCTTCTTCTTCTTCTTCTACTTATTCTTCAAAATCATAGGGCGTACTTTGAGGATTTTACGTTTGGCTAAATTGTTAAGCATGTTACGCTTATTAAGACTTACTCGTTTGGTACGATATGTCAGTCAATGGGAAGAAGTAAGAAATTCAATTTTTAATTTGAAAATTTGCTATTTATCTGTTATGATAATTAGCATATTTCTTAATACTGAAGGACTTTAAATGATTTTGATAAATTTCTCTCTTAACTAATTACTATTTTACATATTTAAGTGAATCTAATATTTATACTGAATAAATCCCAACGCAAGTTTTAACTTAAGTGAATATATTGGAGAATTAGGTTTTATACGTAATAATTACCGTTTGTTCATCATTCAACTGGTCACGTTTTCTCGTTTTTCGTAATATAATCAATTAATTTTAAAAGAAAGTGCAATCAATCACTTATGTACCTTTTTTCATCGTAACTGTCTAGTTATTTACTCACAAAACTACATTTATTGAGACAAATATCCAGTTTCAAGATGTTTAAAAATTACTGGAGTTTCTAGTAACATTCAAAAATAAATAAATTATAAATACCCAGTATTAGTGCGCAAATATTTTGTCATATGAATGACAGAATTTGAATTTATTACAATTTATACCATAGGCATATCTAGTAACTTCAGTAATAGAATAGAGTTTTATTTTAGGAGCGTTTGTTGTTTGAGTAAATACATTCGTTGTTATGATGTTCTCTGAGCTTCATGATTTAAGAGTGACCTTCAACTCAACCGCGGTAATGTCGAAATTTCTATTAGGATGAGCTCTATGAATGACAGAAGTACTGGAAGTGCAGTAATCAGTTTTATTTCAATTTTTAAACACAAAAACATATACATACTTCAAAGCCTAATCAAACATAAGGAGAGCATCTAAACCGTGAATCAACCCCTTGTTTTTACCGATGTTGTGTAGCAACTGTCTTCTAAACTAACACCGAGATGTCTTAGTATGTTCGAGTTTTCTCAGTTCTCTAAGCTAAATATTATTATTGGAAAGATTTTATTGTTGCTCTGGACATTGTAATTATCGCCGCTTTTGTATTAATGAGCTTTTTGGCTATTTTACAGTCCATAAACCGGTTTCGACAGAAGCCCACTTTTGTAAGTGGTCATTTTCGTAAGGTAGGTTATCTTTGTTTAGTTTAATACTGTCTCGTTCGGTTGACTGTTCTCTATACTTTTAATCAGAGGATTATTGAGATTGTTTTTTTTAAATTGAAATCGTGAATCAATGATTACTAAGTCACTACTATAGGCCTGGAAGAACTGAACGGCCGTTACGTCATAGTATAGAATTGTTCAGCCGTGACTAGTGGAGTTCAACCCTGTCCTAGATAGGCAGCAAGTACCGAAGACCATGGGTGAGGTTGCGCGAAGTCCTTAGTCTGATTAAAGTTAGACATTAACATCATTGGATGCCGGCTCAGTGGCCTAAAGGTTAGGCGTTTACGCGCGAGACAGAAGGGCCCGGACCTTATTTTTCGGATATGCCGCAGGCCAGAACGAAACTGCCGTCCCGAGCTTCCAGGTTTCTAGTGGCGGTCTAACAATAATTGATTCACGATTTCAATTTAAAAAAAACAATCTCAATAATCCTCTGATTAAAAGTATAGAGAACAGTCAACCGAACGAGACAGTATTAAACTAAACAAAGATAACCTACCTTACGAAAATGACCACTTACAAAAGTGGGCTTCTGTCGAAACCGGTTTATGGACTGTAAAATAGCCAAAAAGCTCATTAATACAAAAGCGGCGATAATTACAATGTCCAGAGCAACAATAAAATCTTTCCAATAATAATATTTAGCTTAGAGAACTGAGAAAACTCGAACATACTAAGACATCTCGGTGTTAGTTTAGAAGACAGTCGCTACACATAATCGTTCAAAATAAGGAAGACATCAACAACTATTTTCCTGCAGTACATGCCTATTAAAAGATGTTCAAGTAAGTCGGCAAATGAGACCAGTTTTGTTATCTTAGGGCTTACAAGTAAATATGCGACCAAACAGCCAACTAACTAAAATTTTTACAAGAATCATAATCTATGAAGTAACGCAAAACCACGTCAAGCTGCTGAAATTTTTCATGAAGCATATGTTGTAATTTTACTTCTGGATATATTTCTCATATCTTAACACTATAATCATGCTGCATCGCCAAAAATAAATGACTTTGCATATTGCAAAGAATTAACCTCAACTAAAGACTTGAATATCTTTAGTCTGTTTTATGGGACAATGTTTTTGTACAATGCTGAAAGGAGAGCGTATGCCGTAATCTGGTGGTCCTTGAATTTTAAATATTAATAATTTTAAAATTAATAATCTGAATAACTTTAGTTGTCTTTTTTAAACTAGACTGTTAATTAACTGATCTAGAATATTAAGTTATCATAGTTCTTTTTGTATTTTACTTGACACGTAATGAACTAGGTTCTCAAAATATTTCTTCGTGAAAAAATTCAGCCATGTTAATATATATTACAAACTACTGAATAAAGGTATTTTTACGTTATTATTAAGCCCTATATAGATAGGTTGCAAAAAAACGATGTTTCATCATAAATCTCTTTTTATTTTAGTTTATATATATATATATATATATATATGATAATATCCGATCTTATAATAATGAATTGCACCAGTATTACTCTAGACAATCAAATACTCTATTTGAATTTTAGAAGATATGTGTGAATTACAAATCTAGCTAGTTTTAAACAAGGATAATTTTCCAGACGAATTTTTATAACAAATCGACATAAACTTTTAAAGCATTAAAATAAAAATAGTTTTTCAATTATTAAACAAGTTTTGTTCTAAAAATATTTGAAATATAGATGAGGTGAATAATATGGAAGAGTAGGTATTATTTATAGAAAACATTCGAGATTTGTAAAAAAAATTACCTGTAATAGAAAAGTTGATTTTTTTCAGTCACGTTCAGATTTTAAAATTATGTACGTACAAACAATGAATTAAATTAACTAAATAAACAAACTGGAAACCTTATTCTAAATATTATGCAACATCTATTGGATAAATCCACTGCATATTACTGTGCTTTAGTTAATAAAATCTCTCAAGTTACCATGAAACGAATCAAAAATCTTATTGGAAGTGGCTGTACTTGGTAAGAAATTATTGTCATTTCTATACAGCAATGTAAAAAACATCAGTATAGGAGTTGTAGAATTTGTTGAATATTCTCATAAACTATGTAGCTTAGGTTCGTCCTTGATCGCAATAACGTTCAACAATCTTCATAAATCCCATAATAACAATTCTGTTTTTACTCCCTAACAATTAGCTTCGAGGACTCTGTTAAAAACTGCAACCTGTAGGGTTCAACCATGTCAGATGTAGGTAAGATGCCCGGATATCGTTTGAAAAATAAAGTATTTGGGTAAAAAAAAGATTATGAATGACCTACTAAACATTAGAAAAGTCATGGCATATAATGTTTAGGGAAATCATTTATCACTTAAATTAAAATCTGATTTAAACATCATAGTGAAAAAATTTTTCTACGCATTGTATTACGTTTTCAGTCAGAAAATGTTTAGTTTATATAATTTAGAAAATATCATATAATTATATCAGTTATGAAAGTAAAATGAACCCCAGATCATCCTGATTACTGATTTTAAGTGCAATGTAATATAGAATACTATACAACTATTTGTAAATATATTTTTTCATTTTCAAACGCGTTATATGTGCATCGATAAGTAACATGCATTAGGGCAAAGAGTATTTTATTACTCAGTATTGAGGTTGGAAGGAATCTATGGAAATAATTATGATAATCCGTAGGGGTATAAATATTTTTTAATCAAATACGAGTAAGCTAATCAGTAAAGAATCTGGTCATTTAAAACGTTGAAAAAATCTTTTTTCATGATAAAAACCACGAATTAATATAAACTAGACCATCATTAGAAACTTGAAAATACTGAGCGGCTGTCTCGTTGTAGTGTGGAACCCACCAGCAGTGCGTATCCACTACTATGTAAACGGGAATCCAACGCAGGATCTCCGGTTAGTTTTCCAACCTTCATCCATTACCTGCGGCAGATAACTGTCTCCTATCCGACATGGATTGAACCGCACTGGCAATGACTTCTCCGAATGACCTCACTGATTTCTTGAAGCACCGGGTTGTTATTAATGAAAGAGAGTCACGGAGGTTGCGCGACCCCATGGATGGATTGAAGTTAGACCCTAATCCCATTGAGTACCGACTTGGTGGTCCAGATTTTTTTAGAGTTCGCATGCGAGACCTGAGGTCCTGCGTTTTATTCCCGTTTGCATGGTCTTGGATGCGCACTGCTGATGAGTTGCACACTAGGATGAAACAGCCGCTCAGTATTTTCAAGTTTCTAATGGTCGTCTAGCTTAGACTAATTCGTGACTTCAACGATAAAAATAATACAGTCTCCTCTGACCGCCTTATTTATATAAAACATTTTTTATCTACGTTGAATAAATATTTGCAGACATAAATTTATAATGAATCTTTATGTGATCTAAATTATACTTTTATACTTCTTACTTTAGTTTCTAAATATTGCGAGCAAATTTATGGGAATATTCAATTTGGTTTTATTAATGTTACTACTTGGACATTGGAATGCATGTTTACAATATTTAATTCCTATGCTCATGGATTTTCCGCCAGATTCATGGGTGAAGCGCTGTAAACTAGAGGTGAGTAACAAAATTTGGCATTTATTAACTTAAGTGAATATATATTTTACAAGAAATAACACAAAGTAATGTTCTTTGTCATTGAAGTATAAAATCGCTAGTATTTTTCAGTGTTTTTTCTCATTTCATGTGTTTTTTCACCGACATTCAGTTTTACTTATTTACACTGTTTTTTGTTTGTTAATGCTTCAACAGATCCTCGTAAATCTCATTATAAACTTTTTGTTGAGAGATTTGACGAAATAAGTGTGAAAATCGCATATATACTTCAGTATAGCCCAGATTCTAAACATCACTAGTTTTCACGATAAGGCTGGAACTCAGAGTCGGCAAATCTCTAACCATCTACTTAAGTTTAGGTAGCCAAAATGATTTTTTTTCAGAATTCTAACAAAATCAATACGACTTAAGTATTGATATTTAGTCTTATACTCAGCTGACCCACTTCACTTTCGATCCAACAATTTATTTAATTTTTAGGTTGCTGTTCATATGTGTTTGTTGATTAGATATTCACAGCATGAAATAACTTTTGAAGAATTAATTATCGGTGTTTGTTCATTCAAACAACTTATAAACTAGAAGCTTTATCACTGTTCAGTTTATTATTATTTAGTAAACTTTGTTAAACTAAGGGAAAATGTCAAAAGCAAGTGCAATCGTTTTTTATCAATGTTTTTAGGTCAACTAAAACTTAAAATGTTATGTGATTCAATCAATTTTTATGATATCTGACTTCTTTATTTGAAAACAACTGTAGAAATTGAATGACTGAATTGTGCATACTATGCGGATTATCTTTTTTCTACGCTCACCATATTGATTCACTTAATCTTCCATAACTAGTATTCCATTAGTCATCATTGTACAATACTCATATTTTATTAGATTTGGAAAAACTACGATGCTTTCGTGATAAAATTTGTGTCCACAGTTCTATAGTCTATTTTCTGTTATATATATTTGTGTTCGTGCATAGATTAATAAGATTTATATTCAATACCTTCGGCATTTATCTGTCCAGAGAAAATGCTAATGAACATCAAAATAATTTTCTGAAACATTTCAATCATCCACACAAACGATATGCATCTAAGCTTAACATTTTATCAAGACTGGCGGTTGTTCATTGTTGAATGTACGTTTTATGTACACTGCACTTGACACCATACTGAAATTAAGATTAGAAGGATAATGGTCTCTAACAAAACTGTGAGTTTACTGAAAGTAACTCGTTCAGATAAAACATGATGGACGAGCTTATGCTCTTCAATCGTCAATCACAAATCATATAATCAAATTCATAGTTGAATAATTACTAATAAGCCCTCTCTTATCTATTTTATGCCGATTTGAAAATGTTTTCCATTAAGAACAAAAGTGCATTTGCTCAAGAACAAATCTAATTTTTACCGTTGAGAAATAGCGATAAGAATACTTAGTAAATTATTTAGGACAATTGTTTACGCTTTTTTATTTGAACTTGACAAATTCACATAATTTGAATATTCATAGATTTAACACTTAACCCTAATTATGTAAGCATCAATATAGATAGAAAAAACCTTGAATTATTTATTCTTTTTACTTTTTTAATTATTGAACAAAACTTCAACTAATACATTCCCGAAATATAGTTGACGAGTTTGTAGACACATAAACCAACAAATGTTTGTTTAAGCAAGCATCATAACATTTTAAATTAAATAAGACATGAGTCGAATCTTAGTATATGATACTATCGTCAATCTACGTTTGATCGAAATGAGTACTTTAATTTATATGCGACATTTTATCACCTCATAACAACTTGTTTCTCTTTTCAGTCTAAAAGAGAGCAAATAATTATATATAATCATTAAATATGATATCTGCTATAGATCAAATGCAACTACAGTTCCGGTCATAAATACAGGTTCCGTTAGAATAAACTAATCAAGTTATTTTCAGATAAATGATCCTTTCAGTCAAACAACACTTTGTCGGCATAAAAATATGGTTTTAAGTAATAAAAAATTCTCAGTTTCACTCTGTGCGTTTAATATTTCCTAGACAGTGACATGACCAAAGTTAGCTATCGCAGCCGAACAGACCAACGTACTGAATTTAAATTCAGACACTACCAGCGCTTGTGTAAGTTCATACATGCTTAATCCGATTACCAATACACAAAACTATCATATAGATCTTAGCAATTACGGTCTTTGGAATTAAGAACCTATCTGTTTTGTATTGACTAAAATGAACTAATTCTGTCTTATCAGTTTTTTGTCTTTGTATTTTACTAAAACATTGGAACACTTAAGTTGTTTAAATTTTACAAATTAACAAATCGTATACAAATGCTAGTAAATATCATGCATCTGATAGTTATCTAACGGTGTTCATATGCGCATGCAATCATAAAAAAATATACAAAATGACACCGTTTCTCACATTCCGCTTAAAAATATATTAAAATTAACAATTATACAAAAACGTGTATTATCCAAGTTTTAAACATTTAAAATTTTCTGAAGAACTAAAACTTAAATTCTGGAACAAAGTAAGTAGTATGTCTAAATACCTGATAAAGTGCTCGAAAGTAGATTAATGATTATTTCCAATATTCATTTATCATAGTCATTAATCGATAGTTTGAAATGACTACTGAAATGTTTTAATTCAGTCAGCTGGACAAAATATATTGAGTATTAAATAAGAAGCTGATCGAACTTCTAATTCAAGGAATCTTACACTGTTGTATACCGTTAATGATTTCATTGACTAATCAAACATTGGCGTGTTACTTCTAGTTGTGTGCTTTGACGGTTTCCTAATAACGTTTTTAGATGCTATCACATACAGTTAGAAAACTGTCACAAAATAATTAGCTCAGTAACCTGCTTTACTAGATAGTCGTTTACACAATTAAATTTATTTTCTGAATTTAATTTTATCACCTTGTTATTCTGATGATTTATTTAAAATAAAAACTGAACTCATATAACTCTGTTGTTTTCTAATTAGAATGCAGATTGGTTCCAGCAGTATACATGGGCATTATTCAAAGCAATGTCTCATATGCTTTCCATTGGTTATGGTCGTTTTCCACCTACCAGTATTGGTGAAGCATGGATTACAATTGTTAGCATGATGAGTGGCGCAACTTGTTATGCATTGTTTGTTGGTCATGCTGCAGCATTAATTCAATCATTCGATACGTCCAAAAGGCTTTATAGGGAAAAGGTGCGTAATGTTTGGATTTTTTTATGTAACCTAATTATTTTTTTTAACTATGATTGAAACGAAAGTGAACATTGAAACAACAAAATCTTTTAAAATGAAGAATAATGTATATTAAATTACGATGAAGTTCTTAAATGTCTCGAACACTAGTCCTGGCAAGGTGTATTTGAGTAAACCAAGGGTTTAATAACTTCAATATGAGTTTTTACGACTATAAATTTATAATAATCGTATTATAATGGCCAAAATATAGTATAGATAATTATGTTGTGATTGATATCCATAAGAATATATGGTTAAAAGTTGAACTGTTGTACTGATTGATATCATCTATAAGTTTGAAAGGTTCTATCAGAAACAAGTGAAAAAAATGAGCCGTTATATCTCAAGTTATAATAAATCAGATAGAAAAAGTCATATGAATACTAAACATAGGAGAAACGTTACACTAGGCGAAATGATGTAATCATATTACAAAAGTTCTACAAATTTAAAAACAAGATTATTCAAGTAAGAAAGATTCTGATCGGAGATAAACATAAAAGTAGGATAAAATTTAAGTGTTTGCTGTATATGGTTTGTTAAAAGAGTGACCTAGTTATAAGTCAAAATAAACTAAAATAACAAGATTACAAGCTGCCGATAATGAAGTAATGACTTCAGTAATCTACTAATGATTAAATAAAAAAAATTCAATTTTTTTATTTTGAAAAAGGTAGTTAAAACCTTGTTGATTTAAATTTCAAATGAAAGAACTTTCGACAGTTGATATATTTATACTTACCACAGATTCACAAGGAAAAAATATAGTTAAGTAATAAATCTGAATGAACAAAACTTAACTAGATTTTTCATTATCAAATTAAAGCGTAATATGCAAAATGTAATTTACTGTAATTAAAATCATTTTAAGATCAATAGAAATTGCGCATTACGAATAAGACTAAGTGAATGCGTACATTTGATTGTAATTAGAAGACAGGGGGATTACTATAAACAAATAACAAATAAATTATTCAATTAATTTAGATAAAGAAAATAAAAAACTCGTTAATTTTCACTATTTTAACACTGTTTTTAAAAAAAACAATACAACTAGGATAATGAATACAAATGAACACGTTTAATTTGGAAAAATATTTCATCATTAGTGAGGTTTATCCCTATACTCACTGGATTTATAAATTGTAAATAAAGTAATGAAGAATATTTTCACGTATAAAATATGTGGGAAGATTTAGCATTTATAAAATTCTAATTAACAAAGAATGTTTGAATTTTATCACACTAATAGTATGCAGTAGAATTTACTTCGTATACCAATCACATGACGATGAGATTAAAAACAGAAACCAGATAAAGTAAACAGAGGTTATGTAATGACTTGACTAAAAGTGTGCTGTGGGTATGATATAAATTTAAATGGCCACTAAGCCAGAGACCTTGATAGTATATTGCCAGAAGATTTAAAGAAAATTTAGTTGGTTAGGATGTTCATCTTGGAAAGATTTCAGTAATGTTATTTTCTTTAACATGAACTTTTTATTCATGAAGTTATTATTTTATCTTTAGACAAAACTGTCAGGATATACTTCAAATTTAAGCTAAATATAAGAATTTTATAACCAATCATTGACTGCTTGTTCTGTTAAGTTTAATTTGATTCGTTGTAGTCATATCACTCTCTACACAGTCATTTAAATTAACTTACCCACTGATTTAATTATTAGCTTAGTTACGTCTGAGATTTTTAGATCGAATAATAATAAAGCACTTGGACAACTGTTGCCACATGTTTGATTTGGATAGTTTTGGAATCTTGAGCAGAGGAAACATAAAAATGACCAGAGTATTTTGAGAAGCTTGCCAATCAGGTCAATTACAATAAATATACTAAAATAACCCCGAAAATTCGAATTCACTTACAGTAATGGCAATTGAAAATGTGCCCAATAAGAAAATAAGTCATGAGAAAGTCCGTGATTAAATTACGTAACAATGGATGTCGAAAATAAACTATGTAATATAGATACTTGATTCGCATATTATGATAAGCCTACTAAAGTCGATTGACCAAACGACAATTTAAAAACAACAAATGAGTCAGTTACCAAGTTGTGGACCACATTGTTTACCTAAATCTATTCATACTACTTAGAAAGCCAAATACTGCATGACTGATAGATGCTACTGTAAAAATGGTAGGTACACCTTCACTTCAATGAGGTGGGCAGTGAAGAAAATTAGCAAGGTCTTTAAGTGGTCAAGTAGACACGACCATATCACTGCGAAATACCAAGTAATATTATAAACCACATATTTTGAACAGATTTAATATGTTTTGCAAACTAGTATCAAACACTAAACACTACTGATCTGTTAGCTTTTAAAGAAACACATGCGAATCATCCGATAGACACTGTTTTTAACGATATCTCATATAACGTTTGATACCTAGAGATCAATGTTTAGCAGGAGATTGTGCGTATTATTTTGAGATATCTTTTAAAAATTCATCCGATTGAAAAAAATTCAAATAACCATTCTTTAAACACATGTTCTTCAATATGCGTTAACAAAATTAAAATTGAAAAATTCCATATAACAAACGTTACTGAAAACGATTATTTTCAAGTAACACTACACAGTTTTCCCCTAGAAAACGCAACAAATGGCGCTTGAACATACGGTCATTTTTCAACTGTTTTTTTTAATGGTCCACAAATATGTTGTCTGCTAATTAATTCGAAATCGAAAATTCACCTTCCGATTGAAAAAAATATTTAATGAGATAATTTTTATTCAGATCGAATCTTATTACTTCGAATCTGCTTGAACATTTGGAAATATGTTTAGTTTCGTAATGCAATGGCTTCTTAATTTTCTATCACTTTCCTTATATTCATGTCGTCGGATTCCTAATAAATCTAGATTATAAACTTGTTCACAACCTTTATTGTTGGCGGCAGTACATGTTAAAGAAAAGCAAGTGCTAATCTTATACTTAGTTTAGCACATTGTTTTTTTGTCTGCTACAAGTTGGAAATTTGTGATTCTATTCAGTGATAAAAAACATTGAAATAGTTGCTTAAACATTTATTTAATAAATGAACCAGACATGTGCGTTTGAATTGTCTTAATCCCATTCATTCTATGTATGAAATCATATATTTCATTAACAGCAATGTAATGCTTCAGATTTATAGATCAGACACATGAGGTTTTTGCATATTATTTATTTTGGTTTATTTTATAAGTTCTTCACGAAGTTAATTTTATTCATGTGATTTTGCTCGTTATTGGTTGACTTCTCATTGATTCCCAATTTTACTATATTAGAAAGTCATCATCTCATTAAATTGAACAGTACCAGTTTCATCTTCCTAAACTGCCTATATTTAAAAAGGATTAGATTTAATTTTTGTGACAAATAATAATTCAACATTATTTATATGTAATTTAGTACTACTGGCAATATTAATAATAATTCTATTAAACATGATCCTTTCATGACATTACACTTATGAACAAAATGATTTTTTTAAAAAATTTACATCATAGTTTTGAAATATAATCCAATCAAAACATGAAACTAATCTATTTTGTAATTCCTTCTTACTTGCCGCCATTTCTTCCCGACACTTAAATTGCATAAAATAATTATATTTGAAAAAATCATGTGATATTTTCGCTTACTTTAAAGCGATGTGACAGATTTTCTACATGAAAAAAAATTTACTTTCTTCATTTAGTTTATCAATCGAGTCAAATCAGTTGCTGCAGAGATGAATGTCCAGTAAGACATAAAATGGCTGTTTTTTGATAAATATCAAATTATTTTTTATAGTAATGTCGAAGCAAAGCTGAAAAATGAAAACAACCTGGGATAAAATCAAACTAAATATATTTAACTTAGTGTAAACTTTCTTACTGTTAATAATACTAGCAGCAAAATAATTTATCATATTTTCCGATTTATCTACAAAACATTCTGATATTTTATATTCGCTTATATAAATAACATTAGAAATTATATGAAAAATGTGGGGATCCTTGATTCTTTTTTTAAATCATCGTTGATTTAGTTGTCACTGTCATATTTTTTTCTATAAAAGCCAATAATCAACTATTATTGTACTAATTTAGCGATTAAATAAAGTGGGCTTTCATTGTTAGTGATATCAAAGTCTATTATTGAAATAGTTATTTAATTTCTCAAAGTTTTTCCATTATTTCACATCTATTTTTCTGATTCAGTTTAAACAAGTTGAAGAATACATGGCCTACCGTAAACTTCCAAGAGCATTACGTCAAAGAATAGCAAATTATTATGAACATCGATATCAGGGTAAGATGTTCGATGAGGCACAAATATTGAACGAGTTTTCCGAATGTCTGAGAGAAGTAAGTTAAACCAACACTTTTTAGATGTTTTGTCTTAAAAGTGTCCTGTTGCTGGTATTCTGTAAGTGATTTTGATAAATCTTAATCAACATGTATCCATCCTGTGAGAAATGCCTAAATGAAGCCATATTTTACAAATTTTAATAGAATAAATGGTTTGTAGCTAACAGTGAAATTCAAGACCCTAGTTTCAAGGTAGTTACAAACTATAAGTCAAATATATATGGATTCTAGAGTTTATGTTCATATAAAACAGCGATATCAAGGAAATATCCATAGGCTGTATTTATGTCAATTAAAGACTTATAAGCATTCACTCAAGAGTACCAGAAATCGGATAATGCAAACTACGTTACAAGTTGAACTTAAATTCATACTCATTGCACGACTGAGTGTAATCTGGAAGGTAATCGATTCAGGTGTTAGGAGAGGAGGAAAACGTGTTCAAAGCCCTCATTGAACACAAAGTCTGATATACTGGAACATCGACATTATGAGTCTCAAGCAAATTAAAATGCTAATTTTTATTCCTGTGTTATCCAAAATCTATATATTACTCAATACCCATCCATTTTTATTGATTCAAGTTAACTATGATTTGATTAAGAGAATAGTTTATCTTAAATTCATGTTGTTACTGAAAGGTTTTCTAATAATTCCGTGATTTATTATTTAGGAGCACTAACTATGTGAGGCTTTAAGACTGAAAAGACTGTAAACTTATGACCAGATAGTCTCACATTCTGAATCATGGGCCAGTAGATTATTAAATATCAATTTAAACGTAAATACCAAATAATTGGAAATCGGCTAACAAAACTAGAAGGCAATATTACTCGTGTATACTCAAACAGAAAGCCTGAAACATCGTCAAAAACCGATTTACCGGAAGAACTCTAAACCATATAACAAAGAATATTTTCAACCGAAAATCATATTTAAATTACATGGTTCAACAGATAAACTGAATGCTTACAGTGATTTTCTTGTTTGATTTCCACCCGAATGAATGTATTTAGTCGTTCAATAGTATAAAAAATATGATCGTGATTTGGTCGATTTAATTTTAGCACATGAATAATGCGAAGATCTTATATCCTGTTAAAGAATAATTTTCTAACTAAAATTTCCTCAAAAACGTGCTTAATGTTAAGTTTGTTAGCAGTTGATTCCATTAGAATAAACAAGTTTATATAAATATCTATTTATTATTTCATCAAAAATACTATTGTTTCTTTGAGTATAGTTCTAGATAGTTGTTGTATAAGGAGGATACAATTATGTTTTTTATTAACATTTAACTCAAAAGCATTCTAACATTGAACATTTTGCTAATATAATGTGCATTTACTTAACTTAGAAGCTTTATCATAATATCAAAGATTCGTTACTATTAGACTGCTCATTATTCATCCAACCAAATTATGATGACCTAGAATTTTAAATATTCTCGGTCGAAATACTAACAGCGATTTCGGTAAATTATGCTTTTATTAACTACTAGCTGATTGGTATAGATTCGTTATGGAATCTCCCAACAGAATGACTTCATATCTGATAAGTTGTACAACCTAAAGGAGTAAACAGTACAATTAATGTCCATCAACTTCGAACATGTACTAGATACTTTTTAAAAACCAACAGTCTAATTTTTTTCAATAGTCATGAAAAACATCATATTATTTGAAAGAGTTTGTATTCGTTTCGTTTTTCGCGGTGAAAATTGCAACAGATTAATCTCTGTTGGTTTATATGCATTCTAAGTTGATTGCCTTGATAGTGAACTGTAGTCACAATGTTTAATAAAGTTTAAGTACAGTTCTTTGTGGGATCCAGGATATATGTTTCGTTTTATCTAGGATCAGTCTGATATGTTTATTTCCATCATAATTTTATAAGTTAAAATCAATAGTGTGAAAATAGAAGTACATTTGTACTGGTTATCTGGACTAAATATTATGCTGGATAACACTTTGGCGTTTAAAAAAGCTGTTACTAGTTTGATGGATTCTACTTACAAGGTGGCTTATAAGTTGTACTTAGCAAAAACGTCACTCAGAAGTTACTACCTGAAAGAAGAGTATGGGGAGATTAAGATGCATATCATGATCAGAGCATTTTGAAGACCGAAAGAGAAGTGAAAGAAGACAGTCAAAAAACTACTTGATTTTGAATAAATGATCAAAGATTATATGTTCATATTTTGTAAGTAAAATATGTCCTTGCTTTATAGATTCATCCCATCTGGTTTTGGCTTCTTCTCATGCTACACTAACTCAAATCTGACTCTGAATAACAATCCTTAAATCTAAGCGATGATTCATTATAAAATGGAACTTGTCTCCGGAACCCCATTGATTGTTACGAAGCTGAGTACAAATGATACTGCATATGTTTACTTACTGCCAACTGTTTTTTAGCCAAATCATACATTTGAATGACTTCCGTTATTAATACTTACTTACTTACTTACGCCTGTTACCCCCAATGGAGCATAGGCCGCCCACCAGTTTTCTCCAACCAACTCTGTCCTGGGCTTCCCTCTCCAGTTCTGTCCAATGTTTGTTCATTCCTCTCATATCTTTCTCTATTTCTCGGCGTAGTGTGTTCCTTGGCCTTCCTCTTTTCCTTTTGCCTTCAGGGTTCCATGTGAGGGCTTGTCTAGTGACGCAGTTGGGTGCTTTTCGTAGTGTATGTCCTATCCACTTCCACCGCTTCTTCCTCATTTCCTCCTACACTGGAATCTGACTTGTTCTCTCCCACAGTTCGTTGTTGCTGATGGTGTCTGGCCAACGAATACGAAGTATTTTGCGTAGACAGCTGTTAATAAACACTTGTATCTTCTGAATGATGGCTTTGGTAGTTCTCCATGTTTCCGCTCCATACAGTAGAACTGTCTTCACATTTGTATTGAAAATCCTGATTTTGGTTTTGTTTGAAAGTTGTTTGGAGTTCCAGATATTTTTCAACTGTAGAAATGCAGCCCTCGCTTTGCCAATCCGCACCCTCACATCTGCGTCCGATCCACCTTTCTCGTCGATGATGCTGCCCAGATATGTAAAGTTGTTAACGTCCTCGGAAGCATCTCCATCAAGCGTGATTTGGTTGGTGCATGTTGTGTTGCATCGGAGAATTTTGCTTTTTCCTTTATGTATGTTGAGACCTACTGCTGCAGAGGCTGCTGCTACACTGGTCGTCTTCTCTTGCATTTGTTGTTGAGTGTGCGATAGAAGAACCAGGTCATCTGCGAAGTCCAGATCGTCCAGCTGCGTCCTAACTGTCCAGTTGATACCGTGCTTCCCTCCAGATGTTGACGTCTTAATAATCCAGTCGATGACCAGGAGAAAGAGAAAGGGTGAGAGTAAGCAACCTTGCCTCACACCGGTCTTCACCTCAAAAGAGTCTGTCAGCTGACCTCCGTGCACGATTTCGCAGTTGAATCCATCGTAAGAATTCCGTATGATGTTGACTATTTTCTCAGGCACACCGTAGTGTCGAAGAAGCCGCCACAGTGTTTTCCTATCCACGCTATCGAATGCTTTCTCGTAGTCGATGAAGTTGATGTAGAGTGGTGAGTTCCATTCAATTGCTTGTTCCACAATGATCCGTAATGTAGCAATTTGGTCAGTACATGATCGATCCTTCCGAAATCCGGCCTGTTGATCTCGAAGTTCAGCGTCTACGAAGTCCTTCATTCTGTTTAACAATACCCTGTTGAAGACTTTGCCTGGTATTGAGAGAAGAGTGATGCCTCTGTAGTTTTCACACTTGCTGAGATCGCCTTTCTTTGGTATTTTGATCAGGTATCCTTCCTTCCAGTCTGATGGTACTTGTTCCTCATCCCAAATCTTCTTGAAGAGGCTGTGAAATATTTTCGCAGTTGCTTCCACATCTGCTTTCATTGCCTCTGCTGGAATGTTGTCTGGTCCTGCTGCTTTGCCGCTCTTGATTTGTCTGATGGCCATACTGATCTCCTCAATCGTAGGTGCGCCAATATTAATTGGGAGGTCCTTGGATGCTGCTTCGATGTTGGGTGGGTTCAGTGGAGCTGGTCGATTCAATAGTTCCTTAAAGTGCTCCACCTACCTATTTCGCTGTTGTTCAGTGTTGCTGATTATTTTCCCTTCCTTGCTTTTCACTGGTCGTTCTGGTTTACGATAGTTCCCGGCGAGCTTCTTTGTTGTTTCGTACAATTGTCTCATGTTTCCTTCTCTTGCAGCCTTTTCCGCCGTCATTGCTAGATCTTCCACATATTTTCGTTTGTCAGCTCTGATGCTCTTCTTCACTTCCCTGTTTGCTTCTGTATACTCGGCTTGCGCCTTAACTTTCTCTGCTCTTGTTCGGCTGACATTCACTGCTGCCTTCTTGTTCCTCCTTTCTTCAATTTTTTCAAGAGTACCAACAGAGATCCATTCCTTGTGGTGGTGCTTCTTGCGACCAAGGACCTCCTGACATGTTGAAGTGATTGCCTCCTTAATCCCTTTCCAATTGTTCTCCAATGTTGCTTCCTCTCCATTGAGTAGATCCTGAAAGGCCTGGAACCTATTGGTGAGGGCTATCTTGAATTCGTTGAGTTTTACGGTATCCCGAAGAAAGGCTGTATTAAACTTCTGTGACGTTGTCTGCCCCGTTGTCCAGTGCTTCTTTAGCTTCAATCTCATTTTGGCGATCAGCAAGTGGTGATCTGAAGCTATATCAGCTCCTCTCTTGGTTCTCACATCCTCCATGGTCCTTCTGAACTTTTTGTTGATACAGATATGGTCAATTTGGTTTTGAGTAGTGTGGTCCGGTGAAATCCATGTGGCTTTGTGAATGCGTTTGTGCGGGAATATTGTGCCACCGATGACCAGTTTGTTGAAGGCACATAGGTTTGCAAATCTCTCACCGTTTTCGTTTCCTTTCTCCCAGTCCATGTCGTCCCATGATGTCTTCATATCCAGTGTTGTCCATTCCAACCTTGGCATTCAGGTCTCCCATAAGAATCGTCAAATCCTTTGGTG